ATTTATACGTACTGAAGTGGCATCTGACACGTGACAAGCTGCTCCTGTTTGCATAGCAACTTCAACATTGTATACTGTGATCAGAGGTAGGTAACCTTAGGCAGTCCAAATGCTGTGAATTACATCTCCCATAATGCTGGCAAAGCATTAGCGGAGGTGTAGTCCAAAACATCTGGAATACCGAATGCGTATGAATGAAAAGTATGGTGTGTGTGAATGGTCAGTAACAAGGGTTGAAGCCTTGACGTGGCGTTACTGCTCACATATGTATCCATGTGCCAATTCAACCAATGTAAGTGACTGTAATACTTATGAGGTAACCATAAATACAGTGACTATGGAGAATTAAACGCCCGTATCACCCAAACACTGCTTATACTGTGACCGTATCACCTAAACACTGCTTGTACTGTGACTGTATCTCCTAAACACTGCTTATACTGTTACCGTATCACATAAACATTGCCTTATACTGTGACGTATCACCTAAACACTGCTTACACTGTGACTGTATCACCTAAACACTGCTTATACTGTGACCGTATCACCTTAACACTGCTTACACTGTGACCATATCACCTAAACACTGCTTACACTGTGACCGTATCCCATAAACACTGCTTATACTGTGACCGTATCACCTAAACACTGCTTGTACTGTGACTGTATCTCCTAAACACTGCTTATACTGTGACCGTATCACCTAAACACTGCTCACACTGTCACCGTATCTCCTAAACACTGCTTATGCTGAGACCGTATCACATAAACACTGCTTATACTGTTACCTTATCACATAAACATTGACTTATACTGTGACCGTATCACCTAAACACTACTTATACTGTGACCATATCTCCTAAACACTGCTTACATTGTGACCGTATCACCTAAACACTGCTTACACTGTGACCGTATCATCTAAACACTGCTTATACTGTGACCGTATCACCTAAACACTGCTTACACTGTGACCGTATCATCTAAACACTGCTTATACTGTGACCGTATCACCTTAACACTGCTTACACTGTGACCGTATCACCTAAACACTGCTTACACTGTGACCGTATCCCATAAACACTGCTTATACTGTGACCGTATCACCTAAACACTGCTTATACTGTTACCGTATCACATAAACATTGCCTTATACTGTGACGTATCACCTAAACACTGCTTACACTGTGACCGTATCCCATAAACACTGCTTATACTGTGACCGTATCATCTAAACACTGCTTATACTGTTACCGTATCACCTAAACACTACTTATACTGTGACCATATCTCCTAAACACTGCTTACATTGTGACCGTATCACCTAAACACTGCTTACACTGTGACCGTATCATCTAAACACTGCTTATACTGTGACCGTATCACCTAAACACTGCTTACACTGTGACCGTATCATCTAAACACTGCTTATACTGTGACCGTATCACCTAAACACTGCTTATACTGTGACCGTATCACCTAAACACTGCTTACAGTGTGACCGTATCACCTAAACACTGCTTACACTGTGACCGTATCCCATAAACACTGCTTATACTGTGACCGTATCACCTAAACACTGCTT